ACGCTTTGTATTTTAATTTTAATTTCAGTATTTTAAAACAAAAATAAAATATCCACTCAATTCTTGTGTTTTAAGACCCATTTCTAAAATGAAAGTCCAATGACCAAAAGATACACTGACCCAATTCAAACCCAAGAATAAACTTCCTGTTAAGTTAAAAATTTAAAACAGTGCAGTTTTTGGTGAGGAATAAGTTAGGACAATGTAACATTTACTAGAACAACAATCTTGAGTCTAAAATGGAATTATTTGGACGTTAGACAGCATTCCAAAAGAAGAACCCCATCCCACCTGTGAAAGAGTCATGGTCTGGGTGCACTTTGCTGCCAAGCTCACCACTATCCAATCCATCATCCATCAACCTGAGTTTAGATTAGTATTCAATAACATCATTTTATTCTCCCTTACATTTCTTTTATCTTCAGTTTAGTCAAGGATTTTTGATAGCAAATGTGTAAACTGACAAAGGTTTTTCAAATCACTGTGCATGTTAATATGTTAATATTATTTGTAGATTTTCTGTACTTGCTTCCTTCAGTGTCAGAGGGAGCTGGTCTGTACCTCCAGTGGTCATTGGACTGTTAATATGAAGTTTTACTCTTTCTTTTCTTTCAGACCATGGATAAAGAGTTTAAGAAGTGGATGAAATGGTACGGGAAGAAACACGGGGAGTACACAGTAAGTTCTTTCGTTTGGATTATTTGCTCTCAAAGTTATTACTGTGCAGCCTTTTTATTACTGTCATATATCAAGCTAAAATTTTGTGTGATGGTAGCTGAGAGTCATTCCCAACAAATATCCGAAATGCTGATCGGTCGCACAAGATTTTTGTTTAAAACTTGACCAGTAAAGTTGGTGGGTAATATGCATTCATTCAAGGAATAGTAATTTTATTTATTAATTGTAATTATTTTCCTTGTGTGTGATGTTTTGTTGTCCACAAATATTCTGCCTGTTTAATGTAGCTAAACTGGTATTTTTTCCAGCTGGAGAGGGGTGATTTTCTGTCTGAAGAATGGAAAGAAAGAATCGCCAACACAAGGTGATGTTTTAGACATGGAAACAGTGAGAAACTTATATATATATATATATATATATATATATATATATATACACACTGTATAGGGTTGCACATAAAATATTTGCTCTGGTTCTAGGGGGAGAACGTAGGGTTGTTGCTTAGTGCTCATATTTTTTCTTAACTCATTTAACACATTTATCTAGAGGGGCGTCAGGGCATCTTAACGTCCCCCTGTTCTGTTTTATGACACCTTCTATCAGCTGGCAATGTCTCGGGACATCATGCGTATTGCCAAATCAGTCCACTGAGTTTTTTATTTATTTATTTATTTATTTATTTTTATTCTGTGTACATTTTGTAAACTACCTAAGTGGCCAATGGGCTGACCTCATGTACATACAGTATGTCATCTCAAACTGAACATTTCACGTTTAAATGTCTGTTAGATTACACATGACCCTGAGATGTACATCTCCTGTAGTTTGGCCTTCTAGATCTTTGGCCTTGTTTAAACCAGCTTTCCACACTTTCCAGACCAAGCAGCAAATGTCTGTCTTTTGCACAGAACAAGTGTTTTATTTGTTAGGCAGGTTTCTTTTTTAAAAGACTATTTTATTCAAAAAGATTATATTTAGATGGTTTCAGCTCATGTAATCATTTTAAATTATTTATTCTTCGTATTTTATCATTTGTTGAATTACATTTATCCCAGAGCAGTTGTGTCACAGTATGATTCTAAATATAAACATGTTTAGCACATCAAAAACCTTATTGTTATCATAGAATTGTAAAGAATGAAATTTGTGGATTTTTCTGATAAATTAAAATAACATTTAAAACTCATTCACAGAATATGGCAAGTTTTTATTTTTATTTTTACTTTTTTTGGATTGGGGGGGTGTTAAACAGAGACTCATCTTTGCTTTGATATGTGGCAAATAAACGTTCTTCTGTTAGAGGTAATATGGTTTAGGAGAACTCGAACAGTGAATCTCACAGAAAGACTCAGCCTGTGTGAGCTGAGGCGCGTTCCTGCTTCTCCGGAGAGTTTAGTCACTCACGCAAAGTTGGACAGATCTGTTGGATAACAACACTCTGAACACATATTTAATATAAAGTTAGGTTTTAGAGACCAAAGTCTCTGGTAGTTCAGGAGTAAAGTGCAGGAGGAGATGTCAGSACTGATCGCTGGAGCCACTGCTTCCACTGTTCTGCTGAAAACTGTTCTCTGAAAAAAACCGCCCTGCTCTGCTCTGATTGGATAAAACGGCTCTGGAGTTCATCTGATTCGTTGAAAGCAGTGTCTGTTTAATCCTTATACATCAGGGTCCTGCTGCCCTCTGACAGAACGATGATCCAGTCACACCAGTGAGGCTGGATTTTTTTTTGTTGGTTTTGTTTGTTTTTAAGAAATCAGGTCGCATTTTCGTCCCTGCTAGCTGTTGTTCTCACAATCTCAGGTACAATGTTAGGTATGCAAGGGAGCTTAATGTCATTCCATCTTGTGCGCTTTTTCTTTTTTGATCGCGCATGTGCACCTGCGCACCACTTATGTGCATCTGAACTGAATGTATTTGGCGGACTGGAATACTAGATGTTTTAAGTATCAAGTTACTACAATCCTTGTGGTTAGAATTTGTCAGCTCATTTACAGTTATTTGGTTTTTTACTTCAATTTATTGCAAATAAACAAAAGGAAGGACATTATAATATTATGTAGTATCCAGTAGTTGTACAGCACAGCGATCATGGTTTAATCCAGATGAACTTTATCACCTGTAGAACTTTGTTTCAGCACATCTTTCTTAAAACTCTTAGGCCTTTTTAAAATGTTGAAATTATCCAACAATCTAACATGTAATTATTTTTGTTTTCCAGTATTATTTTTGTGAATAACTTCGCCTTTGGTCCAGAGGTAGATCACCAGCTGAAGGAACGTTTTGCTAATATGAAGGAAGGTTAGTACTTGGTACTAGAACTGTGTTGACATTTGTAGAGATTTTGGAAGAAACCAAGTTTTTAAAGCACAATTTGATTATTTGTTGTATCATTAATGTGTTCGTGAAGAAGTGAGGCAATATTCATAAGCAGAGGTTGACGTAAGCAGCTGATGTGTCAGTGTTGTTGGTTTGAAAAATACTATAAAGTATATGTTCTGTCTAATAAAATATGCATTTAGGTTTATTATATGCTTACTTCATGTACGTATTTGGTTATTAGTATTAGGGTTGGGCATAATCGTATCGTGTGTGATTAATCGTCAGAAAATCATTAATCGACTAATTTTTGGCACTTGACAATTAATACGATTAATGCCACCAGGTAGAATCCGCTCGCTGCTCCTCAGCTTCAAATATGACGAACATTAAAAAAAGTTCTGTAATTTATTTATCTATCAACACAATTTAAAATATGATGTATAGCCTGAAGTCTGTAATTTTGACACAATTTGGAACAGATTTTTTATGAGGAGCAAATATTTCCCACTAAATTGGTCATGTGACTATGAAATAAGGGTGTCCAGGGGATTAATCGTCAAATTAATCGTTATCGGCTAAATACCACAATTAATCGTGATTAATTTTTTTGCCAATATTGCCCAACCCTAGTTAGTATAAAAAATACTTCTAAACATAAATAGTATTGTACTTCAGGTGTTGTTTTTTCCATTTCAGAAGGGAAAATTGTGTCCTCTAAACCCTTTGCACCGTTAAATTTTAGAATCAACAGTCGAAACTTAAGTGGTAAGTGCTAAAGTTGTAAAAACAAACAAAGCTTCTTTTTTTTCTTGTCTGTTCTGTGAGACGTCTGTTTCTGTTGCAGATATTGGCACAATTATGCGCGTGGTGGAACTTTCTCCACTAAGGGGCTCTGTATCGTGGACTGGAAAACCTGTTTCATACTACTTGCATACCATAGACCGCACTATAGTAAGGCCCTTAATGTTTTTTAAGTTGTATCATTGTATTTGCAATCATTAAAAAATGTGAATCAATATGCTGGTTAAATCTACACTGTGGTAATCTCCGTCTGCTACCACCTTAATCTGTGTTACTGTATTTGTTGCTGTTTTGAACAACGAAGGGGTGTCAACATTGTTGTTGTCTAAAATTGGGTGGTCACCTTTAAAAAGCTATGAGGTTATTAATCAAATATTTGCCTTGTGTGTGTTTCAGCTTGAAAACTATTTTGCTAGTCTAAAAAATCCTAAACTCAGGGTAAGTCAGTCACGGTATTATTGATAATATTTGCCACGTCTTTTTGTACCAAGCTGTTAACGTGATTCATCCTAAACCAGGAGGAGCAAGAGGCAGCTAGACGTCGTCAACAAAAAGATACAAAGGACAGTAAAAGCAATAGCACCACTCCCACAAAACCTAAGGAGCATCCCAAGGTATAATATGGACTCTTTTCTAAAAGCTTAGAGGCTGTTTTATAGACCAGACTTAATTTTAACTCAGCTTTATCTGCATTACGTTTGCTTTGTCAACTATATGTCCTTAAATAATTTGTCTTGTCTTAATGCAGAAGAATGAAAAAGGAAAATATAACCCAACATGAGTGTTTTTATCTGTGTGTATAGCAGCAGGATTCGGGTGGTGAGGAGGAGCGTCCGAGCTTGGTGACAGTGGTCAAACCACCTGCCAAGCCCCGACGAGCCCGCTTGTTGTCTAAAGGTCGCAAGCTGAACAATAAGAAACGTGGTCGACCTAAGAAAGCCACCCCTGCTGCTGAGAAGAACAAGAAGAACCAGAGTGCTTTGGATTTGCTGCATGCAAAGACACTTTCTGCAGCGCCCCCTCAGGGTGAGCGAGCTAAAACACACGCAGGACGTGCTAAATTTACTCTCGTCTTAAAAAAACGTTCGGCTCGTTTTCTTTGTGTGTATAGATGCAAACCGGCCAGCTCAGAGTCCATTTCACCAGCTACCTCTCAAGGTTCAGCACTATCCTCCCAGTCAACTGCTGCTGAGCCCGACTCCTCCTGCTCTGCAACAGCTGCTTGGTGAGCTAATCAAAACTTATTACTGTTTACGCGTTACCATCCAGCCTCACCTGTTTCCACTTTATGATGTTTTTTCTCTGATGTTAACGTCTGTGCTCTTAAGTTATGTTCAAGTGTCTTTGTGTCATTTCAAAAGGTTTGTGTTGACGTTAGTGGGTCGCCGTTTTTCCAGTGTTGTTTAAAAGTTATATTTTCTGTCTTTTTCATGTCATGATAAGTGGAGCAATGCTAGGAACGGTTTAGTCTTAGTTTCTTTGACCTAAGATTTTAAAATGAAATGCAAATAAAACACTTTACCTACAATTCACATAATTTACTCCCTTTCTCTCTCTTTGTTCCTTCCCATCATTTTCAGATAACATCAAAGTCCAGTACCTCCAGTTCATGACCTACATGAAGACTCCTCAGTATCGCACCAACCTGCAGCAGCTTTTAGAGCAGGAGAAGGTGATTAGTGAACATCACACATAAATGCAACTACCGTGGAGGCTTCAGGCACATTTCTACAGCATCAAAATAGTCTTAGCTGTGTTAATACCACCTCTTTCTTATTGTTCTCTCTCCCCTCTCTTTGGTCTTTAGCAAAAACACAGAGACTTATCAGGACAGGCGGAGCAGCTTCATTTTGTCTGTCAGTCTCACAAGGACAAGATCAAAGGTCTATTTCAAACCAAACTAGATGAGGTATGACTTTGTTTTTATTTCTTTTTCCCATTCAGTGTTGTTACTTGAAATGATATATTGATGTCCAGAAAATTAATTAGTTTTTTTATTCCTTTGTTTTTCTCATTACTCACTTCACATCCTTCTGTAGAGTTTTAATTAAGGACTGACCTACATGTGATTTTACATTTATTTTATAAAACTCTTGAAAGAATAAGTAAAAACTTTTGTTCTGAAGCAATTTGTTTGTTTTAGGTGTTTCAATCAGGTTAAAAGACGTATCAAACACAGCTTTGATAATAGGAACGTTTCAGTCTTTAAAACTCTATTGAGCATAAATTCCATTACAAAGACTGAAATAAACAGCAACATTGTAACGAGGGTTCTTCAGCACTACTATGTAAATATTACAGCCATGTATTATGTGATCCAAAAAAAAACCTCATGTTCACTTTAAGAAGCATGTGAGGAGGAAAATGGACAAACAAACCATGTGTTACATGTTGAGTTTGAAACCTTTTGTTTAATGGGCTTTTTAAATGTCCCCTAACTATTTGGAATCAATTGGAACAAAAGACAGACAAAAACAAACACTGTTGTGGTTTTGTTTTGGAGGGTTTTTAACTGGTAGGGAACCAGAGTACCCAGAGAAAACCCATGGATGCACGGAAAGAAGATGTAAACCACACAGGAAGACCCCAAATCTGAACCAGGGATCAAACCCACAACCTTCTTGCTGTGAGGCATCAGTGCTAACCACTGATCCATTGTGCTGCCAAAAACACACAGCAAAAAATGTCCATCTAACCAAGTTTTAAAATCTTAWAKCCAGCCAAAAATCTTTTTAATCTTGTTTTGAGACAAGTACAGAATGTGTAAGATTATTAATCTTGTTAGTAGAATGCATAGGATTATTTATCTTGTTAACCTGGAAATTTGACTCAAATTAAGTAAAAAAAAAAATTCCATTGGAATAAGACAGTTGCACTTGGTGAAATTCCTGAAATCACCTAAATTGACTCAATTTTTTTTATTTCAAGAATCTTACCAAGTGCATTTGTCTTACTCCATACTTATCCTGTTACACAGTGGACTTTTATCCATACTCTTCCTGTTAGATCTCAGTGCTGCATTTGATGCAGTTGGTCATAATATTTTATTACAGAGGCTTGAATTTGATTGAATAAGTCATATTTCTTTGATAGATTCCAGTTTGTTGATGTTAATAATGAATCTTCTTACTCCAAAGTTAGTCATGGAGTTCCTCAGGGTTCAATGCTTGGACCAATCTTCTTTACTTTATATATGTTTCCATTAGATAACTTTATTAAACAGCATGGGATAAATGTTCATTGTTATTCTGATGATACTCTGTTATATTTATATATGAAATCTGATTAATCCAATCAGTTATTTAAATCTACAAGCATGTCTTAAAGACATAAAACTCTTAAATTTCTGTTTCTAAACTCATATAAGACAGAGATTGTGGTTTTTGGACCTGAACATCTTAGGGATCAACTTTGAAGCTTTTCACTTCCTCTGGATGGCATTAATTTGGCCTCCTGTTCTAAAGAATCTTGGTGTTATTTTTGATCAGGATATGTCTTTTAACCCCCACATTAACAATGTTTCCAGGACCGCTGCCTTCCACTTGCAGAATATCACTTAAAAGATAAACATTGTGTGCAAAAATGATGCAGAAAAACTGATTCATGCATTTGTCACATATAGGCTAGACAAAGCTCAGCAATTAAGCTCCATCTTACTGTATAGATCTTATTGTTCCATATTTTCCCAACAAAGCAGTTTGCTCTTTCAGAATGCAGTTTTGCTTGTGGTTCCTAGAGTTTCTATTCAGTTCTCAGGCTCTTCTTACTTGCTCTACTCCACATGTTTGTAATTGTAAGTATTTCTATTTTAACATGTTTTTTTTTCTTTGTCTTTCTTCCAATAGAAAACCACACCTGGAGCAGTCATTTTTGTTTGTTTGTTTGTATCTCTTTCCTGTCCTCTCAAACCCAGCTGGTCGAAGCAGGTGACTGTCCGTCCTGAGCCTGGTTCTGCTGGAGGTTTCTTCCTGTTAAAAGGGAGTTTTTCCTTTCCACTGCTGCCATGTGCTGCTCAGGATGGGAGACTGCGACGAAGTGAAGATTCAACGCAATCTGCTGGCTCCCTTAGATAGATGACATGTTTTACTAATTGGCTTTTATTATGTATGTAAATGTTTTTATACAGTGCCCTGAGACGAAGTTCGTTGTGACTTGGTGCTATATAAATTGCTAAAGTGAATTGAATCAGAAACATCCAGACCAATGCCAGTCTGAATACTTTAACAATAGAACAAGATCTTCAGCTGTTGTTTGTTTTAAACTAATGTAAAATATTGAAATTCCCAGCTTGGAGTAAAAGCCCTGACTGTGGAGGACCTCCTCCAGGCCCAGAAGGAGATATCAGCCCACAATCGCCAGCTGAAAGAGCAGACTAAGCAACTTGAGAGAGACATGGTGCTGCTCAGAGACCACAGCCTGCTATTGGTGAGGCTTTAGAACCTGAACCAGCACCTGCTCTCTGGGTCAGGGTGGTTGAGGGAACTGGCTTTTAGTGTTAAATTTCATAATTTTTTTTTTTTTTTTTTTTTTTTTTGTGCTTGTTGGTCCACAGCTGAAGTCTCGGTGTGAGGAGCTGAAGTTAGACTGGGGCTCTTTGTGTTTGGAGAGTTTGTTGAAGGAGAAGCAGGCACTGCGTAGACAGATCTCTGAGAAACAAAAACACTGCTTGGAGCTGCAGGTAAACGTGCCGCCATTTCCAAGTAACTCCAAATCTTCCTACTTTGTTCATTCCTCTTTTTTTTTTCCTGGAAAACATCACCTGGTTACACAAACTCTTATAGAGGTGTAGATTTGTGACAGATTGCTTAGGGTGCACTAAATATTTAAGTATTGTGGTGACTTGTCTTTGTAACAGCTCCCCCTGGTGTCTGTTTACAGATCAGCATTGTGGAGTTGGAGAAAAGTCAGAGGCAGCAAGAATTGCTTCAGCTCAAATCCTACAGTCCCTGTGAGGTCTCCCCATATAGAAAGAGCCTGGAGTCACGTACTTCCACAGATCTGGACTCTCTGAAGCTCGGCCTGTCCTCAGCACCCATGCTCAACGGCATCAATCCAGAGCTTTCTATCAACGGCACCAGCTCACCGTGTTTCGACCGGGCTAACACGAAGGTTGAGTTTCCTCGTTACCTGCCCATCTCCCCGGACCACGAGCTTGTGTCCGCCACCCCTGATTCACGACAGCGGCAGCAAAGTTCTTCCCACGCGCTTCCAGATTACACCCGCTTCTCCCCCGCCAAGATTGCCTTACGAAGGCACCTTAACCAGGACCCCACTGCCTCAGCTCACCTGAGGGGTACAGGGCTGACCGCACACAGGTTAGTGTCTGCTACATCATCTGCTCAATAAACCTTTAGACCTTTATGAGTCTGAAGTTGGTTTTAAAGTGGCATGCAGAAAACTAAGATGCTGCTCCATTAATGTGTTTTTGTTTTTAGGGAACTGGGTGGTGTAAACTCTTCACTTGGAGCCAAACTAAACTGCCCCTCTCCCAGTGCATCTGATGTTCTGTGTAATCCTAAAATCTCAGAGAAGGTGATTTTTAAAATCTTTCTGTGGTTTAATACTTGACTGATGATTTCTCTATAGGCTTAAGGGTTTTGATTAGGGGTGGCTTGAGTATGAGTACTTTAAGTTTGGGTATTCGTATATACTGAGTGCTTACTGAGTTAAAGTCTAAACAGTACACAATGACTTTAAAATACATGGAGTATAGATACCAGTACCTCAGTATCAATAGTGGTATTGGTATCATTTCAGAGTATCGGGGCATTTTTTGAGTACTTGTACATATGCTGGTGTTGGATAGGGGGGCACCGATTGCAGTTTTCTGGCCGTCCTTAAATCTTTTAAAAAGTCTGACTTGCCGATTCTGATTTTAGCCTATACAGACTTTTTAAATACTACTTTTACTTTCAATCTAAAACATTGAACAATACCCTTGAAACAATACAAACTAGTTTTAAGTGGACATTAGGTGGTGCTCACAGCAGAGCAGAAGAGGACAGTGGCTGATTTTCAGACCTTTGTGGAGGTAGATGAGAAGCAGGTTTGTTCCACCGATCTTACCCAAGTATCGGTCGATCTCCCATAATTAAGGAAATCAGTGCACCCCTAGTATCAGGACACCACAAGTTTAGATATTTGGAGTACTTTGGTTAGTACTCGATGTATAAAATTTAAAGCCTGAAGGTGTAAATAGACTTTCTGAGTATGTAAATAAACTTTGTGTTTCATTAAATCACTAACGTACTGTAGACTGACTGTTCAAGGTTGTTTAATCTTTTAACACTTTCCATCAGCTCTAATAATCATGTTGCTTTTAAAACTGCTGAAGACATTATAGACATTTCATAAAAGGTTGGGCAGCCAGTAGGAATGCGCGATATAAACGATATACGGTAGAAATTATCTAAATTTGGCCCATGATAGAGATCTGTAGTCTACCGGCCAACCGTGGTAATTCTTTTTGATGATGTAACCGGCTGGAGACAAAACAGAGGAAGCGGGAAGCAGCGTGGCTGAGAGCGCAAATGAAGAGCAATAAGTTGTAAAACGTAAATTATCTGGACCTGGTTTGGGTGTGCGAAAACAAACGCCGAACAAGCACGTGATGGCACGTCGTCCTGTCGGCTGCCGAGCGAACACACTGCCTGCTTTAACTTCCAGCGGGAGGAGCACGGCTGATGTCACGGTCACACAGCGAGGCGATTGTCAGTGCAGGCGAAGTCAGTGTGAGCCCCAGCGGGACGCACAAAAGCTCACTGAGTCTAATGGACCTCGTTTCTCCTGCAGTCATAGTGCGATGAGTACATCTTGTATCATGATGACTCTAATCACAATATTTGATTGCAGAAACCAAAACAAGTCATTGGCATTCAGGTAAAACAAATAAAACTGAGTTGAACTTGAGTTTTTCTGTTTTCAGAGTGGTAAGGACAGGAGTCCATCAGTTCAGAGTGACAGTATCACAAGCCTTCCAATCAGCATCCCTCTGAGCACCGTCCACCCGAGTAAATTACCTGTCAGCATCCCACTGGCCAGCGTGGTGCTGCCTAGTCGTGCTGAGAGACTGGTGAGTTAGATCATCTTCCTACCCTGCATCAGTGCCTCACATCAGGGTTAATGAGTTAGTTTTTGTGTGTGTTGGTCAGTAAGTTGATGATATTCTGATATTTTAGATGTATATATTTAAACGTTATATATTTTGTGAGTGTTTCTTTGCATCATCCTCATTGTGACACATATCCTGTTTGCTTGCTTTTCCAGAGAAGTACTCCAAGTCCCGTCTCTCAGGGAGGTCAGATCAATGGTGAGGATGAGCTTAAACCACAACATGTCTTATCTACTAAATTACAAATTACTATTAACAATGCTTACTAATTATCTGCTGTTCCTTATTTTTAAGTGACAATCTTTAACAACCTTGAGTTGCTGTACCTCTGCAGGATATTCATCAAGCTCAGGGATAATGAATGGAGGTCCCCACCCTGAGGACCATAATGGTGCTTCTTTATCACCACCTTCTCACAACGGCACGTCTTTGACGGGACCAATGGGCCGAGCAGGTCCCATTCAGAGCCCTTCGCTGAGCACTGGAGGGGTGCTCCAGTATGCCGACGGACCTCCCAGAATCCTTCCAGAAGACGGAGCAGACCGCCAAGTTGGGGAGTCAGACACAGAACCGCAAGACGGTGAACTTCGGAGGAGGATGTACTTCTCCTCTTCCTCCTCTTCGTCTTCCTCTTCATCAGGCAGCGTGGCTGCAGGATCTCGCCTCCATCATCACACCGGCAGCTCGGCCAAGCAGGGATACCACAACCACGTCAACAACCACCACCACCACCACCACCAGTCCCCGGGCACGCAGCACGCACACACGCCCACACACACGTCGTCTTCACACACGCTCACCTCTCAGGAGGGCCGCAAGCGAGGCAGAAGGAAGCGCAGCTCTGCAGGGGCCGTCATGCCCGGCGGATCTCCGAAAAGGAGGTCTTTCCCTGGGGTCAGCTCGAACAACCACTCCTCAGGATCTCCACTCAACATCAACTCCATGGTAAGCAGCCGTGAACATTTAGATTTAATATGGATTCTTCAAGGGAACCCCGACTAGCTGTGACATTAGACTTTATTTAATAAACAATTACCTCAACTATAAAACAAAGACTGTAAAAATACTGTAGGTTGTTCAGTTTTTCCTGAGCTCATATTGTTAGCTCAGGAACTAAATACATGTGCTAATGCTATATCGCCACATATATATGTATTAGCTCAGGTGCTAATGCTATATTTCCATATATCCACCATATTTATTCAAGTATAATATGAAAAATTAAATCCATAAAATCATCCATAAAGTTGGGGGGTAGTACTATACTCGGATAAATATTTTTGCTGATGTATTTTAACCGAAATATTGGCCTCATTCACAAAATGCTTGAGTCCGGAAATGAGACCACATCGTAAAAAGCGGTTGAAGCGAGCTTACCTCTGACATTCCTCCATGCTTCAGAGCGAGATAGTAACAGATCCAAGCTGGCAGCATGATGTGAAAAAACAAAAGAAAATAAGGCAGTCCTGCAGCTTAGTAATGATAACAAACTAATGATATTAATGTGCGACCTGTCCGCTCCTGGAACAACAACAAACACATGGTCGGCTGTAATGGCTGCCGTCTACCGGTGTTCTGTAAAAGTTGGTCTACCTGAAAAAAATTTCCCCACCAGAGGGGGCGCTGGCGAGACACACTGAATGAGATTGCTGAGTGGGATTCTGATGCCTTTATTACAGAGGAGGATTACCAGAAACTTTTAATTATACTGATGGTGAGCCTGATTTTGAAGGCTTTTAATTCAGCTTCATCCACACTTGTTAGAGCCAATTTGTTATATCACACCAGTTAACAATTATCATTGCCAAATTTCACATTGATAGGTTTTGTTGTAGTTACTGTGACACATTTGTTGTTGTGAACCTTTAATACATATGTTGTCAAAATAAAATTAAAAAAAACTGAAACAACAGTCAAATGATCATTTTACTGATCAGTATAAAGACTACAAAGGCTGAAAAACCCTGAAATCCGTGTGTGTGTGTGTGTGTGTGTGTGTGTGTGTGTGTGTGTGTGTGTGTGTGTGTGTGTGTGTGTGTGTGTTATCTAGCTAGCTAGCTCAGGTGCTAATGCGAAAGCTAGCAGGCTAAGCTGCCGTTCTTCCATGAAGCAGCTCTTTTGTCCTTCATCCACATTTTCTGCTTCAGGTTGAGTCATTTCCACCTTCTTCTCTCTGTCAAGCTGCTCTGGTTTGATTTAAAGGGCTGATGGTCAGATATTGTCCAAGATTAACCTTCAGGGTGGTTAGAGTTCTCTTGGTCTATGTCAGCTGAAAGTCTATTTTTCCCCTCTTGACAACAGGTAAACAACATCAACCAGCCTCTGGAGATTTCTGCCATTTCTTCCCCTGAGCAGTCGAGCCACAGCCCCAATAGTGCCGACCTGGATCAACCCCCCATCTTGAAGAGAGAGCGCCCCCTAGAGCTTAATGGTACAGGTCGATACTCAACAGCCCCCAGCTCCGATGATGAGGACTCGGGATATCCTGCAGACAGCTCCAGTTCTCGGTAACCAACCACACCTGAACACCTCTTGAACCATTGTGACTTTATTGTTTCTCCTGCTGTTTTTATTTATACTTAGAAAATAAGTCTGCTGTATATAATTTTATTGCTTTTAATGCAAGGACATATTGAAACATTTTATTTTAACCTAAATTTTTGTATGTACTTGCATTTTTTTCTCTTAATTTTTTTCATTTTTGTTCTTTTCAGTATTGAAAGAAAAATTGCCACTATTTCCTTGGAAAGCAGAGACGGCCATGGAAGACTCTGTGATGGTGAACAAGGTAAGAAAAGAAAACTGTAAATTATAAGAAAACACATATTACACAGTTTGACATCAGCTGGTTTCTTACTTTTGTTCCCAGCAGGCAGGAAATCGAGCAGCAGCAGTGGGAACAGTACAGGAAGTGATGCCTCCTCATCCTCCTTGTCCTCTGCCAGCAAATGGAAATCTACCTTTTCACCCATTTCTGATCCCAAGCTTCCCGGTTCTGACTTAAGACAGGGTGGCTCTCCGTTCAGCGTGGGGGGATCAAGTCGGGGCACCGACTCAGACTCGGACCACAAACAGCAGGGGAGGAAGGGGAGTGATGGGGACTCCTCCAGCTACATGGCTCCCAATCCTTTTCTCAGTCAGGAGACAGTGGGGCGGGGTGGAGGCAGCGGTGCTGGTGTTGTCCCAGGAGGATCTGGCTCAGACCAACGCCAAGCTCTCCAGAAGCAAAAAGCGTCGCGTGACTGGGATCTGAAGACCTGCAGCAGCATGGCCAGCCAGAACCTCTTCATTTCAGCTGCTGCCAGCAGTGGAGGAGGCATTCTGAGCGGGAAGGTGGGAGGCAGTCCTGTAGCAGTTTCCTCAACCACCGGGTCATCTGTGGGGCCGTACCTGGGCTCTCAGTTCCAACTCGGCGGGACTTCGGTCTTACAGTCTTTGTTCGGGGCCCAGACTGGTGTTTCCACTGTGAACGGGACACCGAGGCTTGTGAACGGACACTCTGCCCTGGGAAGCTTCTCCAGCGCGGGGCTGGCAGGTGGAGCAGCTGGAGGTGAGCATCACTGATTACCCCCAATTTAGATGTTTTGTTTTACGCTCAGTGAGCCCATCAGAGTGAGGTGTTAGGTTTAATCTAGGGCCATTTTGATCAAACTGGTGTTAACGACGGAGCCAGGTAAGTGGAGGCCTAGTTTTGCTCTTGTCTTGTCTGCCTCACTGGCAGTTTGTCTGAATGACAGAACCCGCTGCCTCGCTTCTGACATGGACCGGCTGCTTGAGTGACGCTTAGAAAAACACCCTTGGAAAATGCTGTATTTGTAACTGTTAAAAGGAAAATAAATCAAGAAAACATCAGAAATATATCTGTTGGTGATTAGGGCTGCAACTAATATTACTATTTTGATAGTCGATTAATCTGCAATTACTTTTTCGATTAGTCACCGATTATTTGTGTCACAATGTCCATCTATGCTTCCTGTGGGCACACCTCCAGTTCCAGCTCCAGTGCTCATCTCACCTGCTCACACCTGTGATGTCACCCTGTTATCCAGACTCTACCTTAACATAAAAAGTAACGTCAACAAACACTGTTTTCTGATGATTAAACTAATAAAACTCAGAGTCACTGAAAATAAGATCTATGAGGCATCAACCTGACGTACAAGCTGACTTTCTGAAACGTTCTCATCTGCAGAGCACAGCTGCAGCGTGTTAGCATTTCATGTTTTCATTGCCGTCATGCTGCCATGGAATGACCAAGTCTGGATTTTACTTTCTTTATTTTGGTTTTGGTGTTGTTGGTTACTTTACAAAGTTTAATTCATACCTGCCTTTTTTTTTTCTTTTCTTTTTATCTTTGTTTACAGTACGTTCTTTATAAGTGAACAACACAAAAGTGAACAACACAACCACAGACAATAGAAGGGATTCTGTCCCAGCGGTCCATGTTCATCGCAGTTACAAATGAACATTTATGTGGGTAAATAATACGATGCGTTGACATTAATAATCCGTATCGACTAGTTTTTTTTTTTTGCCTGATAAAACCAGCCCCTTGTTCTACATGTTGCTTCGTACAGAGGGTCTGAACTCTCAGCTATTGAGAAATGATTTCTCGCTGGAGGCATGGACTCTGTTGAAGTTTAGAATGATTGGATCTGATTTACCCAATCGCTAACAGTTGGTCATGTTTTATGTAGTGCGTGAGCTCAGCTGTGAAAGAGGCTAAGCTAAGAAGCTAACCTGAAATTGTGTGCACTGTAAACAACCATCCTCTAATGGGAAGAGTAAATTACTGAGCCAAAGGAGACAGATGTAAATGAGAGTTACAGGCTTTGTTAGACAAATTAAATTTAATTTGGAAGCCTTGTTAACATGAACTGATTGGCTTCACTCACTTCCTCCACTGATATTGCTAAACTACAGGCAGATTAAAACAGTGCAGAAAATCAACGTCATCGTTCACAACCCCTTCTTTTGTTTGCTGATTGGCCCGGGTGAAATTCATCCGGAGAAATCCTGTCTATGGGAGAAATCCCAGACGGAGCAGAGAAGGGAGATTAGGCAGGCTAGTAATTTTTACAAACAACATCGTTGATTGTCGACTAATCATTGCAGCCCTAGGATGTAGACTTGCTACTTGATTGTGTTTTTTTACTTGTCATTTTTCCAGGGTGTTTCTGTTGCCGTTGATGTCAGAGTCATTTCACTTTTTAACTAACAGGTTAAATCATGTTTCACTGCAGCTTTAAATCATTCACTTCCTGCAGTTAACAGTGGACTGACTCTGTTTGCTTCCTGTGTGCTTGTCTCAGACTTGCTTGGCGCTTTGCACAACCCAGCTCAGTCCTTGCTTCTTTCTTTGTCCCCCTCTTCTGTCTCTCTCTCTCTCTCTCTCTCTCTCTCTCTCTCTCTCTCTCTCTCTCTCTCTCTCTCTCTTGCTCTCTCTCTCTCTCTCTCTGTCTCCCGCTGTCTCTCTCTCTCTCTCTCTCTCTCTCTCTCTCTCTCTCTCTCTCTC